TTATTTTTTGATACAAGATCATGAAATCCAAATACAGGTCCCTTTCGTACCCTTTCTTGTTGCCAAAATCTCAGCGAACAGCTGATGAGTTGAACTATCAAGTCCCTGAGGCTGTGAAAGCCAAAGTGCAGGTAGGAGTGTTACAATATTTATGGAATGTATAACTGCTCCATAGCTGGCAAGTGTTAGACATTGGATTCTTTCTGTCATTATATAAAATGACTCAAAAATTGAAATTGTTCTGGGCCATAGATTAAATGCCACTTTTCTTCTTTCTATGTCCCTGGCGTATCTGGAGATGCTGTGGAAGGGGCCCACAGACTTTTATTTTTCTTATCTACCAAAAAAAACCATCTATATAATTTTTTTCATTCTTCAAAACAGAGACAAAGCTACCCCTGGGGATATTTACTCAGGAGTAAAGTCACTCAGTGTTCAGCAGCCTTCTGAAATTGCCAACAAAAGCCATTTCCCAGTTGTATCACCAAAGTAGGCTTCCATTTACCACTTCAATTTCATTAAAATCTCTTTTAAACAATGTGGCAGGAAAATATGTTTTTGGACTCTTAAATCATGAAGAATGGGAAGCAGAGGAAGAGAAGACAGATACTCTTCTTTCTCTTGAAAAGCCCTGCACATTTCTCAATTATTTGCAAGATTGCCAGTTGCAGTCTAAGGTGATTTGAAAAATGTGAGATTGGGAAAGCTTGTTTCTTGTTCCACAGGAAATAAATCTTAGGAGTTGGAATGACTTGTCCAAACACAATTAGTTGGTGAGAAAAAGTTTCAAAGGAGGCTATTGTGGATGGAATTGATTGTTTTTTTGTAATGCCATGAAATTGAAAATTATTTGTCTTCCTTGACTTTATGATCTGCTGGCCTTTGCTTTTGCGAGACAAGGTCCCTGGCTAGATAAAATTTATTTTCAACAGGAGAATCATCATCTCAAAGCAAAACAAAAAAAAATGTTTATCGAACATTTTTTAAAATGAGAATGATTGATAGAAACTTCGCTGGAACAAAGAAAGATGTGTTTTGCTCATTGTAGTCATGGACAGTCATAGCAATTTGAAGAGAAAGCTTTCAAACTGAGCGCGACTCCTAAGGATTTCATGCATGCAACCATGTAGTTTTCTTGGCAACAGTACAAGAAAAGTAATTTGCCACCTTCATTTTCTGGATTATTATTTTTAAAAATTTCTTGGCCTAGGTCAGGGTTGTCAAACTCAAGGCCCATGGGGTGCTTAGATATGGCCTGCAGGGCTGGAAACAGCGAAAGACCGGCTCATGGTGCCTCTGCCAGCAAAAACTGAGCTCGGGAGGACTGTGCACGGCCCTCTTGGGCTCAATTTTCACCCGTGACAGCCTCCAGCACTCTGCCAGCAAAAATGGAGCCCAAGAGGGCCACACACGAGCTCCATTTTGTCTGGCAGAATGCTGGAGGAGGCCATCACAGCTAAAAATGGAGCCTGGGAGGGCCACAAGCTCCATTTTTGCTGGCGGAGGGCTACAGGAGGATCCCCCCAGACCTGCCTGAGCCACCAAAGGTGCCCCCGACCCAAGTGATGTCGAGCTGGCTATGCCCACCCTGGCCAACTCACCCGGCCACCCAATGTCAAACACAACCCTGAAATCAAGTTTGAACCCCACCCTGGGCTAGGTAGTTCTAGGTAACTATGTCTTATCCTTTTATTTTTGATTAGCTGGGAGGTGGCAGCAGCTACTAAAATAAAGCCACTGCATTTTAGCAAAGTCAGTGGAAGAAGCCAGGTTCACTTCACGACTTTAATTCACTTAACTGCAGTGATTCACTTAAACATGATAAAAAGGTTGTATAATCAGGCATGACTCATTTAACAACTGCCTTGCTTAGCAACAGGCATTCTGGTTCCAATTTTGGTCATAAGTCAAGGATTTACCTGTACTAACCTGCTTAGTTTGTCCAAGGTTGACTAAATAAATTTAGGCAGTTTTATCAAAACATGTATGTACTTTTGAAGATAGAGAATATAGGACCATTGGATCCAATCTGTTACTCAGTTGCAAGAATATAAATTAATATAGATCTTATAGACCAGGATGTCAAACTCAAGGCCCGCAGGCCGGATCTGGCCTGCAGGGTGCTTAGAAGGACTGCGAAGGGCTGGCCCTGGTGCCTCTGCCAGTGAAAACGGAGCTCGGGAGGGCCGCACAACCGGCTCCGTTTTCGCTGGCAAAAGGCTAACAAAACAAACTCAAAACAAAACAAAAGGAGAAATGTTTCACCTTTTGCATTTGAGTATGCAAGAAAGAACAGGAAAGGAGAAGGGAAAGAGGAAAGACAAAAAGAAAAAGAAGGGAAGATGGGAAAAGAGCAAGGAAGGAAAAAGAAGGAAAGGGGAAGGAAGAAGGTAGGAGAATGAAGAAGGAAGGAAGGAAGGAAGGAAGGAAGGAAGGAAGGAAGGAAGGAAGGAAGGAAGGAAATTAGAGGGAGGGAGGGAAAGTCTGTGGAAAGTCCTGTCTTAGCATGTGGCCACCATAGGTGCCCCTGACACAAGTGACGTCAAGCTGACCATATTCACCCCAGCCACGCCCTGGCCACACCCACCCCGGCCCCCAAGGTCAAACACAACCCTGATGTGGCCCTCAATGAAATCGAGTTGGACAATTCCTGTTATAGACAATTCCTTCTCCTGCATATCCAATGAGGCAGAACTCATAATCTTCCTTTATCATAGATTATATTGTGAAACTGTTCTGAGGAATCTGCTTTCCTCTGGCTTAAGTCCATTAGTTCATAACCTGCAAGAGTTTTAGGTGGTGACTCATTCTTTTCAGACAAGAGAAAAGAAATGCTTTGTTGCATTAACTACAGCAATAGGAGTAGCAGCTGTTTGTGGTTTTTCTACTGCTTTTCTTGGGAAAATTTGGGTCCTCATTTTACCTACCTCAGAAGGATGGAAGGCTGAGTCAATCTGGAGCCTGGTGGGATTTGAACTGCCCAATTGGGGGCAGCTAGCTGCAGAAGTAATATTAAGACTTGCTACCAGAAGCTGATTCTTAGGAGATAGAGCCAGACTATTGCATACAATTAGGGTTTTTGTGTTAAAACTGGTGGGATGCTGTGAAATGGAAACTCCGTGTATAGGATTATCTAAGATATATATATATATATATATATATATTTAAAGCTGGTGTTTTCTTTCCTAGGTGCTTCGTTCTGCCGCTGATTGGTCTGCTGGTATTAAGTACCATGAAGAATCAATCCATTCTGCTTACGTGAACGTGATAGAAAACAGCAAGCACTACATCTATATAGAGGCAAGTTGTTGCCATGTGTGGAGACCAGGCTAAGTTCAATAAAAGTAGCCAGTGGCTATATTTATAGTTTTTATATAGGATGATATTCTTCAGGGACATAAATAGTGCTGTCACTGCCTGTATTGTACATAAGTGGGAGTATTTTTGGGATTGGAAGCAGCTGGCTTAGAGAGCCAGGTGGATTGTCCTCTGGAGTTGGGTGGAATCATTGGGCCTCTTCTCCATCACATATCTTATATGCCAGGGGTCTTCAAACTTGACAGCTTGAAGGCTTGTGGACTTCAACTCCCAGAATTCCTTCTCCAGAAATTCTGGGGGTTGAAGTCCACCAGTCTTAAACTTGTCAAGTTTGAAGACCCTTATTATATGCTGTCTTCTGTAGGAATCAGGCCAACAGTAAGATAAATGAGGCTTTCCCACCTTGATTGACCTCCAGATGTGTGGACTTCAGTTCCCAGAATTTTCAGTAATGTTCACACTAGCTGGAGGACCCTAGGAGTTGAAGTCCATATAACTAGGAGTTGAAGTCCACATAACTGAAACTGTACTCAATTTGGGGAAAGATACCATAAATTTATTCCAGCAGTTTATAGGAGTCTGTTTTTATTGGACAATTTTTTTCCTGTTTTATTGCCTTCTGGGTTGAAATGGTGGGCCTTCAAAGTGCAGAATGAGTCACAATTCATTATTTCCTTCAAGCACAAAGAAGTGTGATCACTCATCAGTGTGCTTTGAGAAATTATTGTTCATCATTGTAATAAACTTGTTGTGTTTGATGTGAAGTACCTGGTAGATAAATTCTTTGGATAAAATCTAAAGATACTCAAATTCTATCAAAGAGAAATACAGTATAAATTAAACATTCCTACATTTGCAGAGCTCTAATAATTTCAATGAGATTTGTTTCCATTATTCTAGATTGGTTGGTTGGTTGGTTGGTTGGTTGGTTGGTTGGTTGGTTGGTTGGTTGGTTGGTTGGTTGATGTGCAGTTTTATCTGGCCCAATCTGCAAAAACTGAGTGGCTAACAATGAAACAATATTATGACTTAGTGTAAATAAGTCTTTGCAGATTATATTATACCATTGTAAAATCCATTATACTAGAATGTTATAATCAAGAGAAGCAACGCAAATAATTATATAAATAAAAATCACTGCAGTAACAAACCATAGTTAACGGCCACTGGAAAAATGTAGATTTAATTCTTTAAAACCCACAAAGAGCAGGAGAAGAATATTACAGAGAGTGGTGTCTATCATTGGAAGACCTGCTGTCTTTTCTGCCTCACGCAGCTCTTGAGAAGAGGCATCTCTCGATAAACTTTATTTCCTCCCAGAATTGAAGAAACTTTAATCTGTCTGCTAAGTAACCCTTCTGACTGCTTGAGAATTCTGGAATTCATTCTAAGATGCACTCTTGGATTAAATAGTATTCCAGCGAGAGCTTTCCATGACCTTGTGCTTTTCAGAAGTGTTGAAAAATAAATGTCCCAGAATTCTCAAGCAGCCAGCAGGTTGGAGGTCTCATCTGTGTAAATAGAATGCATTGAGATTATGCTCAGTGCTTTCCTGAAGTTAGCGTAATAACTGGAAGAGAAGGTGATTAATTATAGATTAAACTTTTCAGAAAAACTGATCTGCTCTGACTTCTCATCAGAGTTCACAAAATAACCTTGCAAATAATCCCAGAGCTCCTTCTTTAGAAATGGGTGTCTTTTCAAATATTGTACATTCAAAGCTTGCAATAACTCAGTTTTGTTAGCAGCATAAATATTTGAAATTCCTTTCTGTTTTCCTTTCTCAAACTGTAGAACCAGTTTTTTATTAGCTGCGCCGATGACAAACTTGTGTCGAACCGAATTGGTGATGCCATTGCACACAGAATTCTCAAAGCTTACAGGTAATCTGGCTGCAAAAACATGTTTTTTATAAGTATTTTTGCAATTTAGAAAAGTTGCTGGGGAATTCTGGGAACTAAAGTCCAGATTTCTTAAAAGTTGTCGAGAAAGCCTTCAAAATTATATCATCTTCAAGGATTGGCAGATTCTATAGAACTTGCTGGAAAGTGGGGTTTGCAATCAAAGTTGTGAGTCTTGGTTTTCTTTTTTGCACTAAACAAAAATAAGTTTAACTGTAATTTCAAGCAATATTTTAACAGTCCTCAGCCCAACACTGATATTATTTTATAAACTTTAGGTATCATCAGGGGAAAAAATAATAGAAGAAAATATTTGTAGCTCAGGATTGAACTGTTAGCTTTTTAGTGTTCTCTGAGCTTAGCTGTTTTCTTGCAGACATTTCATTATTTATTTAATTTATATTGCTGCCTATTCGCCCATGGCGACTCGAGACGGCTTACACAATGTAAAACCACATTTAAAACAAAAAATAAAAATAAAAAACAATAAAAACTAACAAAAAGAATCAAATAAATTAGTAAAGTACAATAGAACAAAATTTGGGGGGATAAAACAAAACAAAACAAAAACCAATTCCCCACCCCCACCCCAATGACAGCAGATCACACGAGCCATTTGATGGGCTCCATCCCTCTCTGGGTTCCCCAGACACACTGTCAAAACGAGGTCTTCAGTGCCTTTCAGAAGAGAGCTAGAGTGGGGGCCATTCTAATCTCTGGGGGAATGATATTCCAGAGAGAGGGAGCCACCATGGATAAGGCCCTTCTTCTGGGTCTGTATCTCCCTCAGGGGTGGTACCCACAACATTCCTTGCCTCCTTGCTCTAATGGATCAGGTAGATGTGACCGGCAAGAGATGTTTCCTCAGATATCCCAGACCCAAGCCATGAAGGGCTTTAAAGGTGACATTACCTGACCAGGTAACATCATCAGTGCTAGGTGATGTGCTAGGCTAGGCTAGCACTGAAGATGTAACTTAGTCGGGTAATGAAACAATTGAGCTCAAAGTTTCCATTGCTAGCAAGACAGTTGTTAAGTGAGCTTTGCCTCATTTTATGACCTTTCTTGCCACACCTGTTAAGTGAATCACTGCAGTTGTTAATTTAGTTTAACACAGTTAGGTGAATCTGGTTTCCCCATTGATTTTGTTTCTCAGATTACAGACCCCAGGACACTGCAAACTGTCATAAATACATGCCAGTTGCCAAGCATCCAAATTTTGATCACATGACCACAAGGATACTGAAATGGTCATAGGTGTGAAATAAGGTCATACATCACTTTTTTCAGCGCCATTGTAACTTTTGTAGTCCTCAACTTACAACAGTTCATTTAGTGACCGTTCACGGTTAAAACAGCACAGAAAAAAAATGACTTATGACAATTTTTCACACGTACGACTGTTGCGGCATCCCCATGGCAAAATTCGAATGCTTGGCAATTGGCTCACATCTATGATGGCTGCCCTATCCCAGAGTCATGGGATCATCTTTTGTAAGCTTCTGACAAGCAAAGTCAATGGGGAAGTCAGATTCACTTAATAACTGCATTACTAATTTAACAGCTGTGATTATTTACTTAACAACTGTGGCCAGAAAAGTTGTAAAATGGAGCAAAACCCACTCAAAAAATGTCTTGTGTAACATCAGAAATTTTGGGCTCAACTAACTTGACGTCTACCTGTCATGCCCTTGGTAGAGTCGGATTCTGAGGGAGAGGAGCCGACAGGGAGTGGAAGTGTGGAGGAGGCTGAGGAAGGGCAGAGGCCAGCTGGGCAGTCAGAGGAAGAACCAAGCCCATCCCCTCTGCATCCTAGGATACGCAGGGGGAGGAATGGAAAAGGAAACAACTTGGCTTATGAGAGAGGAAGCAGCCATGATCCCCCTCATTGGTTGCAGCTGGGGAGACTAGTGAATAAGAGAGACGATTACAACACAGCGTTGCCAGAAGCAAAGCGTGTTTTATTTTGGGCTGAAGTTATCTTGGTTGGCATCCTTCCAACAGACTGTGCCTTGTTATCTCCTTGAATTTGGTAATTACTTATCCTGATCCGTTGTGAAAATTTTGTCATTGTAGTTTGTTTGGTTTTTTATTTCACCTCTATCTGCTCATTAAGTTCAGGCTGTATTGCTTTCTTTTGAAGACTATTTTTGAGTACATTTTATCTCCAACTGAGAATTATTGAACAGTGGGGCCAAGTTGGAGGCATTAAAGGACATTTATTTACATTTTGGATTTTGTTACGTTTGTGTTACACTCTGGGTCATCACACTACCCATATATGCCACCCAATTTTGCAGTCAGTTTTCACAATTTTTTTTTTTTTTTGGATAACTATTGAGCCATGGGAACAAACAAACGTACTGTTTGGGGATCACAAATTCTTTCTAGGAAGGCCTTGGCTGAAACCTTTTCAAACTGCTTGAAGGATCCACAAGTCTTGTTAACCGAAGAAAGTGCATTTACATAATTCTAAATAGAGCCCTGGGTTTCCATGGTGCAGAATAGAGACAGAATATGCTTCCCTGGGTATAATTGTGATTCAGGTAGTGGCGTATGCATTGTAACAAATTGTATTCCTATCAAAACCAAGTGATCAATTCTCAACCCCTGGGGTGTTTGCAGAAATGTGATTGATAATGAAACCTGCAGCTTGGCCTCCGGATTGACATTTTATCCCTCATGCTTCACCAAATTGGATCTCCAGGATTCTATTCGACAGCAAAACAAAATATCAAGTTTTACATTTTCTGTAATTTTCCACTGTCACGCATACAAATAAGCAAACCTGTTTCTCAGCAAGAGAATTGGAAAAAGATCCCTGGTGTGTGTTTCGATGCTCTGAGCACTGGGGATATTATCCTTCCCCTATGTCAGGGGTAGGGAAACTTGGGCTCTTCTATCACTTATGGACTTCAATTCCCAGAATTCCTGAGTGAGCCATAAAAGGTTCCCCATCCCTGGCCTAATGGTTTTTCAGTTGTGGGGAAATCAATTTTTGACTTGAATGGGACTGTTTAATATACAAATATAGGACATATAAAGAATATTGACCATTCAAGTCAAAAAAAGCCCCCCGCTGTCCTAGGAGCCTGGAGGTGGCATATATCACTTTTGGTAATGCTACCTGGGACTTCTGGGAGTTGTAGTTTGGCAACATCTGGATTGCCTCAGTTTAGCCATTTCTGAGCTATAGATTCGGATGGAATATAGGACATGAGGTACATATCTGATGTAAGATTTATTTATTTAGTTTAGTTTAGTTTGTCAAGCATGTATGAGAAAACAAGTATAAGAATGAACATAGCATATAAACATATAAGTATAAGCAGGTATAAGTACATACATAATAATTGAGTACAAATAAATGGGAACAGTAGAACAGGGAGGATAGGCACGCTGGTGTGCTTATGCACATCCCCTTACAGACCTCTTAGGAATGGAGTGAGATCCACGGTAGACAGTTTAAGGTTAAAGTTTTGGGAGTTTGAGGATGTAACAACAGAGTCAGGTAGTGAGTTCTAGGCATTGACCACTCTGTTGCTGAAGTCATATTTTCTGCAATCGAGTTTGGAACGGTTTACTTCAAGTTTGTATCTATTGTTTGCCCATGTGTTATTGGGGTTGAAGCTGAAGTAGTCATTGACAGGATGTTGAAGCAGACTATTTTGTGTACTAAGCTTAGGTCAGACCATAGGTGGCATAGTTCTAAGTTGTCTAGGTCCAGAATTTCAAGTCTGCTGGCATAAGGTATTCTCTTGCGAGCTGAGGACTGGAGGACTCTTCTCATGAAATACCTCTAGACTCATTCAGTTGTATTAATGTCTGTTATACAGTGTGGATTCCAGGCAGATGAGCTGTATTCGAGAATTGGTCTGGCAAAGGTTTTGTATTATACAGGTAGTCTTTGACTTATTTACATCCATAACTGAGCAAACTTCATGGTCATTCAATAAACATATTAACGAAACCCATGGTAACCGATGGTTTTTGTTTGTTTTTTTGCAAGGAGCAAGAAGTAAATGCTGGTTTCCAGCAAAAAAAATTGTCATAAACCACAGTTGTGTGATGGGGCAATTGATTTACTTGCTCCCAGGTAAATGCAATTGTAAATGCAGGCTGCTTGCCAAGCACCCAAAATATGATCACATGACTCTGGGGAAGCGGGGACATCAGAAGTTAAAACCAGATCTTAACTATTGTAGCTTTGTGGAGGTCTGTCACAACTTTGAATGGTTGCTTAGCAACCAGTCATAAGTCAAGGACTGCCTCCATACAGTACATTCTCAGAAATGAAATAAGCATTTTTTTTTTACAAAACCCACCTCTTAAACCTTCTGTACAGATAGTCCTTGACTTGCAGCAGTTCGTTAGTGACCGTTCAAAATTACAACAGCACTGAAAAAAGTTAACACTTATGGCTGTTAAAGCATCCCTATGGTCACATGATTTACATTCAGATGCTTGACAACTGACTCACCTTTATGACCATTGCAGTGTCCTGGGGTCATATGATCACCTTCTGACAAGCAAAGTCAATGGGGAAAACCAGATTCATTTACATTACTGCAGTGATTCACTTAACAAATGTGTCACTAATTTAACAGCTACAGGGATTCAGTCAACAAATGTGGCAAAAAAAAAGTCATAAAATGTGGCCAAACTTACTTAACAAATTTCTCACTTAACAACATAAATTTTGGACTCATTTGTTTTATTTATTTATTCATTTATTCATTTTGTCAAACGCTTACAATATAATAGAAACAAGAATAAACATAAGTTTAAATATATGAAATAGGAACTAATAATTGGGGACAAAGGACAGGGACCGTGGGCACAATTGTGCACTTATGCACGCCCCTTACAGACCTCTTAGGAATGGGGTGAGGTCGATAGAGGTTAGTTTGAGGGTAAAGGAGTGGGGTTTGAGCATGTGACAACCAGATAAGGTAGTGAGTTCCAGACATTAACCACTCTGAAATCATACTTCCTGAAATCGTACTTCCTGCAATCAAGTTTGGAGTGATTTACATTTAGTTTATATCTGTTATGTGCTCTTGTGTTGTTGAAGTTAAAGCTGAAATATTCATTAACTGGTAAGACATTGTAACATATGATTTTATGTACTATGCTTAATAAGAGGGTATGGGCAAGAGGCAGCCCACGTCAGTAGTGAAGTTAGCTTGTTTGCATTTGTGCTGAGGAATACCCCCTCTTCACTTGGAGGAGATGGTGGCAAGTCTGTTTCTTAATGTAGCACATTTTCCATCCATCCATCTATCTACGTGAGAGGATAAATGCTACTCATACAACCAAGCAGAGCAAAAACTTACCAAAGCCACCCATTCTGAATGATTCTTTCCTTTTGAGATCCTTTTCATCTTGCCTGCACATTCTTCTTGGCTGCACTGATTTACTTGCTCCCAAGAAATTAATCAGAGTTATTTCCATTGAAGCTCATTCTACACAGCCCTGAACACAGTATTGTGACAAAAATGCAGAATTAGTTTTTAAATTCATATTGCACGGAAGAGGAAAACAAGAGGAACTAAAGTTACAAATGGAACATTGTCACCCTTCTCCAACTTTTGTGCATTCAAGATATGTTGAACTCCAACTTTCGTAATCACTCTAAAGATCTGTTTTCAGGCTGATAAAAGTTACTGAGAAAATAAATTTGTGGATGCTCATCCATTATCAGTAAAGAGACCTGTCTCTTTGCCTCTTCTGAGAAAAAAAATTCTCATGAATTTCTAATGCCCTAGAAGATCAGCCAGTTCTAGTGGGAAATATGTAGTTTAGATGCTGAACTTCTTGTAACTCTGACCTTTTCATGTCAGTAAATCCGAAGAAGTAAGAAGGTTGTGAGATCCATGCCTTGGAAAAGGGTTACTTTTGGTTTGAGTTCACCCAGCACCACCCAGCCAAGATGGATCATGATCCCAGATCCTCTTTCCATGGCCTGGGAATTATAGAAGTTGAAATCCAACACAACTGGAGACCAAAGATTGGGAAAGGCTTTTCTTAATATTTA